TCAAAAACATTATAAAATAAAATATTATAAAATTTTAAAGATATTACTGTATTTTTTGTTTTTAAAAAGCAGCTGGTGAGCAAAAGAGACTTGCTCGAAAGCATTAAACAATCGTTCTGACCCAAAACGTTTAAGTACACAAATGTACATGTAGCCTATCATTGTTTCTGTCAGTATTTTCGTGACAAAATTCACCAAGTATGACATAAAATGAACTCTGATTATTTATGTTACTTATATATGACGTACAATCATAAAATGTTAAGCATATTATAAATTATAAGCAAGACCAGGCAAGTTTATTTATAAAGCACATAATATTCACAATATTATAGCTACACTGTGTAACTCTTTTAGTTTATTAGCTAAAAACACTTAGTTCTTTCAAACATATATGTGCTCATTAATGTATATTTACTTCGTTCAAGTAATAAAGTAGCATATTCTCGTGACTGTACGGTAATATGCCATTGAAAATACATACGGGTAAGTAGTTCTAATGTCGCTCTCCGTGTTGCCCGTCCATCTTGAAAGTATAATAGCCAAAGAGGGACATATCCGTTAATTCAAGCTTCGCCTTTCGCGTTTATGTTTGAGTTAACACTAATGGACGAGGTCGAACCGGAAGCCATGTTAATCTTGGACTACATTGGCCACCGTAGGAGTTAAAACGAAATCGAAATTGAAAGGAACAGAAACTAACATTCAATGGATGGTGGTATATCTTTTCACCGCTAGATGGGGGTAAAAATCACACAGTTTAGCTTTAAATAAAAATGCTTTCCAAAAAAATATCTCAAAATAATTATGAAATTATCAAAACAGATGCATAAGAAATAAAAAAAAATATTATACAAGCTTCTCTTCAAGTCTGAAAAAATGCATTTTGACATTTTGATCACAATTAAGCAAATTTCCATGCAAATTATCATTAATGTAATGAGAATATTTTGTACTACTTTATTCCAGTAAAAATAGAAAATCTGAAAATGTAAACAGATGCATAAGAAATCTAAATAATATGATCTAATCTTCTCTTGACATCTGATAGGATGCAGCACCTGTTATTTCACATGGTTTAATAATAAACGTGTAAATGCACAGTAAAGCTGCTCTTCCTGAGGACGCTTCGGTTCGGACAGGATTGAAATGACAAATAGTGTCTAGAAAACAATGAAAACCAGTGTGTGTGTGTGTGTGTCAATAACCTGTAAAAGTGGAGTGTGTGACCTGAGCATCGTCCCTCGAGTGTGTTCACTTCAAGCTGAGTGATCGAAAACCACACACTGGATCAGACAGGTCACGCAGGGGTCACGCCAGGGGTCACTGTCGAACTGGTTGAAGTATCTTTACTGGCACTTTTGATCAATTTAATGCATCCCTGCTGAATAAAAAGTGTTAATTTCTTTCCAAAAGTATAAAAAACTGACCTCAAACTCTTGTTAACATTTGGCTAAAAAATTGCTTCACTTTTGTTTTTCTTCAAACTTGTAGCGGTTTAACTAAATTATGACGGTGTATGAAAAATCACATCTGATATTCTGAATCATTCACTACACTGGAAATGAAAGGTCAAGGAAAACACATTGCATTGTGTACCGTATATAGAAAAGAAACTTTCCGTTAACAAATTAATTAATTTTTCACTGTAGCATTTTTACCGTTAAAATCAGATTATTTTTTTACAGTTATTTTTTATTTTTTGCGCTCACCTCGGGCTGTTATATCCCTGAAGACGTGACACTGTTCTCTGGATCAGAAAGCCTAGAGCTCAAGAGAGCGCATTAAAGTGCAGAACGGAGGCTGTTCAGGGATCAGTGTATTTATGGCTTCGTCTCTATGAATAGGAATATGATCCTCTGATCGGTTTTGCTTTTTAACATTCACTTCACAATCACGGTCATTCGTTATGAATATCTGTGAGTATTAGAATTGTGTTATATAAAGTTGCAATTTGATGTTATAAGGTCAGAATTAGGACTATCAATTATACAAAAAAGAAAAGAAAAAAATCCGAATTGCAAGGAAACGTTTGAATGATGAGAGGTGAGAATTGGTTGATATAAACTTGCAATTGTGAGTAAAAAGTCATGATTGTGAGAAAAGTCAAAATTGTGAGTAAAACGTCATAATTGTGAGTAAAGTCATAATTGTGAGAAGTCACAATTGTGAGTTAAAAATTCTTAATTGTGAGAAAAGTCAATTGTGAGTAAAACATTACTGTGAGGAAAAAATTAATTGAGTAAAGTCATAATTGTAAGGAAAAAAATTAATTGTGATTAAAAGATTAACTGAGGAAAAAATTAATTGTGAGTAAAGTCATAATTGTGAGGGAAAAAAATAATTGTGAGTAAAAAATTAATTGTGAGGAAAAAATTAATTGTGAAAGTCAAAATTGTGAGAAAAGTCATAATTGTGAGTAAAGTCATAATTGTGAGGGAAAAAAATAATTGTGAGTAAAAAATTAATTGTGAGTAAAAAAATAATTGTGAAAGTCAAAATTGTGAGGGAAAAAATAATTGTGAGTAAAAAATTAATTTTGAAAGTCAAAATTGTGAGTAAAGTCATAATTGTGAGGGAAAAAAATAATTGTGAGTAAAAAATTAATTGTGAGGAAAAAATTAATTGTGAGTAAAGTCATAATTGTGAGGGAAAAAATAATTGTGAGTAAAAAATTAATTGTGAAAGTCAAAATTGTGAGAAAAGTCATAATTGTAAGTAAAAATAATTGTGATGAAAAAATTAATTGTGAGGGAAAAAAATAATTGTGAGTAAAAAATTAATTGTGAGTAAAAATTTAATTGTGAAAGTCAAAATTGTGAGAAAAGTCATAATTGTGAGAAAAGTGATAATTGTGAGAAAAGTGATAATTGTGAGAAAAGTCATAATTGTAAGTAAAGTCACAATTGTGAGTAAAAAGTCTTAATTGTGAAAAAAGCTTTACACACACTTAGAGCGACCAACGCAGCAATATCAAGAACTGAAGTGAAACTAAATAAAAAATACATTAAAACCATTTAAAAATATTTTTAAACACCAAAACCAACTAAACATGAGAAAAGCATGTGAAATTACATTCCAGACGAACCTTCAAAGCCTTTAAAGCTCCAGAGAACATATTAAAGCTCAGAACTGATGGATTCAGCGCTTCGTCTCCCATGAATATGAAGTTCTTAACATTCACCTCACAGTCACGATTATTCATGAACATCGGCGGGCAGAAATATGAATGAAGCTGCGCTGAGGTCAGCGTGTTCAGAGGACGGGAAGAGTTCAGAAACGCAGGATCTGTTCGTGTCACGAGTCATTAGTGAGTTACACTCAACACACAGAACCTTTCATAATCCAGATCACTCTTCAACACACACACACACACACACACACGCTAAACAGCAGGTTTCAAACATCAGGAAGATGGGGAAAATGATGAGTTGGAAGCAAGTGGAGATTGAGGCAGTGATAGGGTGTGAGAGAGGAGAGGGAACGGAGGATGAGGAAGATAAAGAGCGGATGCTGTTTTCTCACTCCAATTTCCTGATCTCTCCAGTTCTGGTAATCCACATGTGTTTTAATCTTCGGTTTAACTGCGGCTGTCAGGACTCAGTCCAGTTTCAGCTTCAGATTCTGACAGGAGTGTGTGTCACCGACCCTCAGGTGTTTGTTACAGGCAAATAATTAAAAGTTCTGCTGAAACTGATATTTGCACTTAGTAGATGATTCTAGACATTCATGATCAGTACCTTTTACTTTTGGCCAACAAAAATTCTGATCATCATATATTCAGCACTGCACGGGTTAACTATTCACTAAAACTATTAAAAAGCATTAATGTTGATTAAAATAAAGCTGAAATAGAATAAATATTAGATGAATGAAAATTCAAATGGTGCTTTCGCAACAGGTTTTAAGATATTTAAATATTTAAGAAAACGAGAACTAAAATGATTAACTCAATAATAATAATAATACTAAAACTGATTTAAAACTAAAACTGAAATAAAAATGAATTAAAACCATTTAGAAATATTTTAACACCCTAAAAGTAATACATGTGAGAAAAAACATATAACAAAAGTACTACAAATTAAACTAATAACTAAAATAAAAGAAAATTATATATATATTTATATCACTGTAAAAAAAATATTGATGGTTTAACTTAAAAAAGTAAGTAACCTGGTTGCCTTAAAATTTTAAGTTAAATGAACTGGAAAAAGAAAACGAGTTAATACAATGAAGGAGATTAATTTAACCATCAGAAACTCAAAATTATATGTTATCTGAACTAAATAAATTATTTGAGTTGATTCGACAAAAGAAAAAATATTGTGATTACTACACTGTAAAAAAAAATTGTTGGTTTAACTTAAAAAAGTAAGTAACGTGGGTTGCCTTAAAACTTTAAGTTGATTGAACTGGAAAAAGTGAGTTAATACAATGAAGTAGATTAATTTAACCATCAGAAACTCAAAATAATAAGTCATCTCAACTAAATAAAGTTGCTTTGACAAAAGAAAATGATAACAAATCTTGAAAATATTTTTTACAGTGTACATACATACATGCATGTAAAAAACTATAATAGAATTAATTTAATTCTAAATTAACATGCCCATGCACAGAGACTGCATCATTTACATTTTTTTTTATTGTGGCGTGCTTAATAATACCAGATATTAAAATTATCCCCCAAATAAGCCCCCAAATTAATGCAAAATGTTATTTTATCATTTTTTAATAGTACGACACTAAACTATAATTGACTGTCAGTGTCTCGTATCATTTTCTCGCATAATAAAATAATTTCAACCTAAATCAACAAATTATGTGCATTGGTTTATTTGGCAGGTACACCCGAATGTAATAAGAATAATTTACATTTAGACAGTCTCCGTCACAAACTCTGGGTGATAAAAGACGAGCCCGAGTTTCTGTGTTCGTTCAGTTTTGACATTACTATGCATGTATTAGCAACCTCAGCTGAAGAAACGGACACGACATTCAGGAAGCAAAACCATTTATTATCATCAAGTACAAGAATATCAAACGAACAGAGAGAATTCGTCTCGGGTAACTTCGTCACGACAAAGACACTCGACAGCAAAGATCTTCCCCTCGCAGTCCCTGTTTTAATATCGTATTCGTCCGATTGTTCGTGATTGTTCTGAGGGGGAGGAGTTTGTACACCTGTCAATCAGCAACCCGGCCACTCTGATTGGTCGAAATGCAAGTTCTAGCCCCTCCCACTACTGCCAGTTAAAGCTCCGACCTATGAGCCGGAAGAAGTTTAGGTTGTGTTGGCGTAAATACGAACGCAGTTGACGGAGAACCGCGTCGTTAACCGGAGGATGAGGACGTCCTTTAGACTCATGAAGGCATCGCTCAAGTCCATCACTACGGATGCAATAGAAGCCTTTGGTTTGGTTAAAGTAGAAGTTGGACGCCACGATCCGCGGCGGGAGATGGAGGAAGCGTTCGACTCGCTGGAGCTCGGGCAGCGGGTCGTGGATCAGCGTGTCCCCGTCCACAATGTGGATCTGCTCGAGAGGAAAGTGCTGGAGCCAGTTCCTCATGTGCACGTCGTAAAGACTTCGCTGGATGGCTTTGTAGCGCGTGTTGAGCGCGCCGTTCTTCACCAGCATGTTCTCGATGGCCTGAACGGGCTTGTGGTTCTCCAGCCGGTTGAAGTAGACCTGCGTGTAATCCGAGATGACTCTCTCCGTTGGGTCTCTGAGGATCAGCAAGAGTCTGATGGACGAGTTCATGGCGTGGATGCGCGCGGGAGCGACCGGAGACGTGAAATACCCCGGCGTCTTCTCCACCGTGATCTGATGAGGGAACGAATACGGCATTTGTTCGCGATACCAATCGAAGCCTTTGGCGTAGTTCTCGTCCCAGTCGAAGAAGTGGACTTCAGTGGCGGCCGCTGCCACTTCGGGATGGATATCCAGCATTTCCAGCAACGCTCTCGTTCCTCCTTTCCGAACGCCGACGATGATGCTGTGAGGAGCGTGTTTGCTGGTTCCTGGAGGCGGGATCAAAGAAGGGGTGAACGTCTCGTTTCCAGGGTTTTCCGGGACCGGAGTCACTTGGATGAACTCGGGAGGAGCGGCGTACGTCCGGAGGACCAGGAACAACGCGTAACTCAGAAGATTAGCCATGGAGAGGGTTGGAGAGGATAAACGGCGGGTTGTGTTGAAGATGCGACGGTGTGTGTTCAGTCAAGCGATGGCGGGTTCTTCGAGCTGGGCTTTCAGGGACGAGGTGTGGCCACCGGTCCAAAGTGCATCTGGAAAACACAAAGAAGATAAGTTAATAATAAGACATGCACATAAACTACAACACTACAATTTCCTCAGCAGAGGCTGTGATTGGATGACTGGATGACAGCGGACCAATGGCATCGCATGATCTCTAATGTTGGTTTGTTGGTTCTGAATCACCGAGTCATTTATATGATGGAGGGAAAGAGATTGCAGAAACATACACTTTTATTAATGATATTTTGTGCATATTTTGCATCTGGAAAACACAAAGAAGTAAAGATAAGTTAATAATAAGTAGGGATGGACCAATATGACAATTTTGGACGATACCGAAAACCGATAACCGATAATTCTTTATATTCGAAAGCCGATAACCGATATATTGGCTGATAAATCAAAATCCAAATTTCTAAAAAGAGCCTAGATACAAAAACAAACGTCTCCACCATTAAAAGCCAAAATACAAACACAATTATGATATTCTCATTATATATATTTATGTAGCCGATATGACAGATTTGCGCTGCACATGTTGCACTTTAACTGGATTTCTATCATATTTCAAGCAATTTAAAACCATCATGTTGAACAGTCTCTCAGCTGGAGGAAATAATACATTATTTATCGGCTTCAATATATCGGCTAAATTGAAGCATTAAAAATGATCATATTTCGGCCGATACCGGTACGGTGGCCGATATATTGTGCATCTTTAATAATAAAGCACATAAACTACGATAGAAACATGTTAACAGAATAAATCCCTCAAAACCACATGTGACTTTTCCTCAGCAGAGGCTGTGATTGGATGACTGGATGACAGCGGACCAATGGCATCGCATGATCTCTAATGTTGGTTTGTTGGTTCTGAAACACCGCATCATTTCACCGCATCATTTATGATGGAGGGAAAAAGAGATTGCAAAAAACATACACTTTTATTACTGATGTTTTGTGCATATTTTGCATCTGGAAAACACAAAGAAGTAAAGATTTTTATGATTTAAAATTTATGATCGAGGGAAAGAGATTGCAGAAACGTACACTTGTATCACTGATATTTTACACCAGTTACCTAGGAAGTCACAATTTTTTTCTCTTGAACACATTGGATGGAAACGCTGCTTCAGAATGATTTGTGCAATATTACAGTTTTATGAATAAGATAAAATTTGCAACTTTAAATGGAAAACTTAGCTATGTATGTTTTCCTCTTTTTACTTGCAAATCGTTGCCACTCAAATCTATTGTAAAAAAAAGATTAAAATGTCTTTAATTTGCTAATTCAATGCTCTACTTAGCGCTGAATCAGTGTTATTTTAGATATCATTATAGGTTTCATCAATTTCCCTGTTAAATTATTTTATTAATTTACATTTAGTCATTTGCAGACGCTTTTATCTGAGGACTAAACCATACAAATCATCGTGAAGAGGCAATAATAACAAAAGGAGTGCTCAAAATACAAAGTTCAAACATTGCTCAGAGTAGCATAAACCAGGCAAGTGAGGATTTAAAGAATTAAATATATATATATATATATATATATATATATGTTAAGTGCTCACGGACGCACTTCTGAGTCACATTATCCCTATTTATTCAATGTCATGCTGATCCAAGACCCTCCTGAGAAAATGTGACCAAAATTATTCAGGTTTCCTCCAAATAGATCCAATATTCAAGCCAGTTAAATAGTTTGTATCTGATTTGCAACTTAGATCAAATAGACTCTGAGCATGCATGCAACATCACTAAATCCAGGCTCAAAAATATTAGTATTAATGGTAAAACATATTAAGTTATAAGTTATCAAAGTTAATAATGTTAGTAAAAATGTAACAAACCCATCAAAAACGTAATCCTAAAAAATGTAGATGATAAACATGGAATTTAACATATTGATATATTATTACATTGTTAAAGATTTATGAAGTCAATGGTTTAGACATACTTTTTGATGATTAACATTTAAATTGAGTCATGAAAAATGAAAGCAAAAAAAAATTGGGGGAGAAATGAAACCTATAAGGTTAGTTTTATAAGAGACTGAACAAGCACTAGATATCCAGCACTAACTGAGTGAAGGAAGGTGTAGATCGCTTCAGTGGACTTAAAGAAAAGCCAAGGTCAAAATCACAGGAACGCAGTGAGACGAGGAGGGATATGAGAGCGAAACGGGGAGAAATCCTCTAAAGGACTCGCTGATTGAGTTCAAAGTATCCCATGCAAATATGTCGAATCACAAACATCTCCTGACCTTTACGCTTCATCAGATTCCAAAGACACAGTTAACACACTCTCTTACACAGACCAAACAGCCCAGGCCTCCAGTCACAATACTCCGTCAGGAAAAGGTCACTTCCATGGCATTTACCCGCCGGTCTCCGAAACTGATTAAAGCTTGTAACTCTATTACAGATTACAGCCATCTGCACTCTTTCACTGAGACACCATTACACCGGCTCTGAAAACACATCATCCAAACTAAAGTCAAGTCAAGTAGATAATAATCACGTATTAATCATGTTGTTTTATGAATCGCCACTTCAAACCGCTATCGCTGGTCAAGCTGGTTTACTTTCAATAAAACACCTTAGAATTACAAAACAAGGGTGGAAAACACTGCAGAATCCTGTCACACACACACACACGCATCTTACTGTGTAATGTCACGCAAATAAATAAAACTCTTCACGACAAGCTCTTCACCTGAGAAAAGTAGAGTTTAACTTGAAATAGTGAGGAATGGCTATTGAAAAGAAGTAACAACAATAATACAATGTTTTAAGGAATATCACACAATTTTAAAAGTAGAAGTAAACTATACCAAAAATGATGTTCAAATGTTATACTGTTTTTTTGTAGATTAAATTGTTAGATTTATACATTTGTTTGATTAAATCATAACAAAGAATACAGAAAATTACAGAATTTCTTAAAAAATAAAACATATTTCTTACACGGAAAAAAATAATATGCTTTATCTAATCAATAAAATTGTGGCAACATATTACAAGCAATATTATTAATTAATTTGTACAAATTAGAATTAATTAGAATATTAATTTGGTTAACTATTACTCAATTCTAATTTGTTCAATTTAATAAATAATATTGCTTGTAATCTGTTGCCACAATTTTATTGATTAGATAAGCATATTCATTTTTACAGTGTAGAGCCCAATTTTTTTTTTTTTCAATTTTGATGAAGACAACCTACATGCACAATGACACCAAACAGTAACTATACAGTAGTACGGCTAAATATATTTCTTAAGCAATATCATTGTACAGAGCCCAATTTTTAATAAAATATTGATTTAAGAATTTGATTGGACATCACCATTTATGATGATTAAAATCGAATTAAACCATTCATAAGAGAATGGGAAACAAATTAGACATTTCATGGAGCCGTAGAGAGTTATTAAATTGTTAAAGTTGGGCAAATTAAATTTTTGACTATTAACATTTAATCAAACCATTAAAAATGGAATGAAAAGTTCAAAGACAAAACATGGAATTTGGGAAATATAATAATAATAATTTCATAGTGCTCTATTTTAAAATTGTAATAAATTGTTGATTTTTTTTAAAGTTTTATTAATTAAAATTGATCAGACATCTTTTTTTGAGTACTAACATTTAAATAAAATTAGAATTAATAAATAAAATAAAATGATACAAACAAAATTGAATCCAGGAAATTAAAAACAGAAAAAAAACATGGAATTTGGGAAAAATAAAATGGATTTAACTAACTAACTAACTAACTAACTAACTAACTAACTAACTAACTAACTCTCTCACACACACACACACACACGCAAACACACACACACTCACTTACCTCACTCACTCACTCTCACACACACAAACTCGCTCTCTCTCTCTCTCCTGATGTCTGTGATGAAACAGTAGAAGAGCTGAAGGCCTGATGCTAACAGCGAGTGACTGTCTAAACCAATCAGGCTCACGGGAGCCAATGACACCAGCGCGTTTCCAGCATAGATACCGCAGAAAAAACAACATCTCGCTTCATTTGCACTTTACTTTCAATGCAAATACATTTCCAGGGAAAGCATGAGCTGATAAAATGAAAAACTTCAATGCAATGTAAGTCACTTTAAAAGTAGCCTACTATAAAAGACTTGCATTGTATGGACATAAACCTTTAATACATAATATTACAGCTATGTTTTCATATGTTTAGAACCAAATGAGTCGGCATAAGACAAAAAACAAGAGTTGACCCTAATGGTCAGAAGAATTTAAAGACTCATAGCTTCCAAAAAAATTACAGAAATTTAATACATCAATTAACGAAAAAAGTAAAATAACATTACAATCAAGTAATAGTCATAAGTATATAATAAATGAATTAAATAAAAACATGTTATCCTGTAACGTCAGTGGTATTCAATTAAAAAAAAATCCTAGATAATACATTTTTGTGGGATTGAAACTGTAAAATTGTCAAATCTTTACTGTTTGTATCACTGTGCATCAAAGTGCTGAGGAAGATTTAGATATGCTAATGAGCGTTTGGTTTTTGACCAATCAGAGCAGCTCTCAGAGAGGCGGAGTTTAGAGAGACTGAAGCGGTTCAGACTCTGACGCTGCAGTGGAGATTATGAGGAAATAAAGTGTTTCTGACATCAGATGCGTGTGAACCTGTTGTAGGAGACGCCTCAACAACATTAGGAACCTTTAATAGCACAATACAATTACATTTACAGATATTGAGTGCTAAACATGCCATTACAGTCCTAACATCGCTTTTCCACAGTCGCACACGTCTCTGCTTCCGTCAGCTGGATCTATTTCCAGAAGCAATGTGTTAGCGGCTCTTGATGTATTCCTCTGTCTGCACACTACGAGTCTCTGACTACAGCTCAGATGATGAATGTGTGTGTTGACGCATACACACACACGTGTGTCGAGCTACAGGTCTCTCCACGGGACACAAAGAGCCACTAATTACCCAAAGCGCCCGCTTCTGTCTGAGTCTCGGCGTTTC